TCAAAAATCTACAGTTTGTATGGGCGATTTATCTGGATACGTGTGGACGCAAGCCGTAACTGTATAAATATTTCTGCGTTTTCAAAAACATCCATATGCGTGTGGAAAGGGCCTTATAAATTATCCTATTTATGATATGTGCAGTTGATATTGAATGAATTTCTAAAACTAAGAAGAATGATGTCATTCAATAACAAATAAAGCAATAAAATTTACTGATATAAAAAAATAGTAGTATTATCAAAAGGCTAATACATTTTGGTTTTAGTTTTTCTAGAGTAATATATAACAACACACGTCTATCTTTAACACACTTTCTAACAGCGTATTGTCCTTAAATTCTTGGTGTGTTGTCAAGCAATACTCTCCTTGAGTTTCTGTTTGGCCTAGCATAGCCTCATCGTACTTAAGCGCTTTCGCACGGCAACAAAAACACTCGATTGCTTTATTTGACAAAGTACAATGGCCACACTTACAACAACTAAGAGTTTGAAGGCACCAAGCATTTGATCTCTTAAATTCAACATCAATTTCATCCTCCGACAAGGACAAATCGATCTCCTTACTATCCTCATTCTCCTGTACGGAACAGCTTTCTCGCTTGTTTAGGCCTTCACTTCAGGTTCATATTAATAGCACAGAACATCACCCAGTGGATTTCCATTTATGTCATCCATTAAAGAAAAAAAATTAAATAATTTGTAACACTGTCAAATCTCAAATTATGTTACATTGTTCTTTTGACTGCTTACCAGGCAATGACATCACGAACGCTCAAGATAATTTTATCAAAAGTTTATCGAAGATGGCGAAATTTATAAAACTTTTGCTGCAAATATCTCAGCAACAAAATATTTTTGAAAAACATTTTCGTTGATAATGTCCTTTAATAAAGTAAATGGTTTGAACCCTGGAGTATCGTTACATGTTTGTAGATGTAGATCGTCCAGGTTAGTATAGTCCTGAGAAGGACTGTTTTTGTTGTTGTTGACTGACATTTCGACAACCTTAGCAGTAGTCATCTTCAGAGTCAAACAAAAAAATGACTACCGCTGTTTTCGTTGTTGTCAAAACGTCAGTCGACAACAACGAAAACAGTCCTTCTCAGGACTATACTAACCTGGACGATCTACATCTACAAACATGTAATGTCCTTTAATCTTGATCAACCTTTCCTATTTTTGTTATTTTTGAGGTACACATGATAGACTGTAAAAATGGAAAACTACAAATGTGAAAGTTGCTTGAATCAATATCCTGGAATTAAACTGTGAACTTTGGTAGAATTGTTCATGTATGTATTGAGTTCTTATTGTACGTAATGGCACATAAGCGTTGCTCAGCTGACATTTAACCCTTTGTGCTGGCAGTTGGGAAATTCTTTCTGATAATATGGTAAACACAAGATAGCAAAGGTCTTGTGTCCAGGGGCGGATCTAGGGGTAGGCACCATAGGCAAGTGCCTATGGTGAAATTACCAAAATATACTTCGACTTAGATTCGATACGAATTTATCGAATTATGAAACTATGAATAGCACTTTATCGCAGTCAAATCATCTGACTTTTGTTTAGAAATGTTGTGCAATTAAATGACGTAATTTTGATATGAATCGTAGTCCAGATGCGTATGATTATCTATAAAGCTCCGTGTCGTTAGGCAAAGCAGCCATTTTGCCTAAGTCAAGAAGGCGATCTAGCCATTTGATTGGTTGTTAGCAATTTGCCTAAACAAGATGAATTTGCCTAACTTGACATCGTGTATAGGTATTCTGATTGGGCAATTTTTGCAACCGTATGCTTTCATTGGTCAATTTTTTGCCTAACTTGAGCAATTCCAACCAATCATTGCTGTTGATAAGCATAGTTGAGCTAGGCAAATTAGGCAATTGAAAATTAACATACACTCGTATTGTTTCTGAACAGCCTCTGTGCTCAGTTTACGGTTTTGTGATATTTTATAATGTCTTCATTGTGTTGTGGTAATTTATACGAGACTGCTCAGTCTGCGTTGGCCAAAACGATTTAAAATGCCTTAATGAGCTTTATTCTCGTTTATTGGTCGACGTTCGACCTATGTTTACTAACGAGCAGCTGTTAGATAGAATTTATGACCCCGACCATACTCTGTGTCGAAATTTTGGAGCTGAAATATATGTGCCAAAGCACGCTCATGACGGAAAGACTTGTACTGCAATAAGGTAAATATATTATAATTATATATATCGTATTGTAGTATTTATATATACGTGTAAAATGGTTAAATCTCAATTTCGCTAGGCTATATCTTTGTCTACAGTCAGCAATTCATTCATACAATGCAATCAATCTACCAAACAAAATATTAATTTCTTTTCTTGAATATTTTTAAGATCTGAAGCTTCTGGCAATTGCCTCTACAGTTCAGCTTCCTAGTTCTGGTAGGTAACAATGCATTGGTCCCTACTTTGAATTTTAACATCGCTTGAGCTATTTATTCATGCTGCTTTTATGCTCAACACCCATGCTTTTTGTCTGTTATAAGTGAGCACAGTGATTACTTTGCCCAAAGCTTAAACAATCTTTTGCCTTTGTCAGTGTCTAAAGAATGTTTAGACACTGGATATACAACAGATGAACTGGTAAAACAGGAGGCTATTTTAAATTGTAATGACCAGAAATGGTCATCTTTTCTTTGTATTTTGGGCCTATCTTCTGTTTTAGGTAGAAAAATTCATACTTTTATCCTGATTCTGGTGAAAGTAGATATAAATTGTTATTTAATCGTATTGTTCAGCCCGGTTATTAAGCCAAAGAGGTTTGGATGCTATTAATATTTTGTTTTGTCATGAAGGATCTGTACAACCAGGTGAGACTTTTCAGTCTAATCATTTTGTGCCTCTCATTTTCCATGCCCACAGGTTGAAGCGAAAATTGTCTAATTCCTGTACACAGTCTAATTCTAGCAGCTCAACAACAGAGAAACGAAAATTTGTCAAAATTTTTCCAAATATTGCACCAAAAACAGTTGACATTTCAAATTTTTTTACTTCAACTAATAGGCCTGCTGCCCAACCAACTTTTAAAAGGATGCCCAATGAGAGTTTTTCTTCTGCTGCAGCTCTTGCTCAGACATTAAATAAAGCCAATAGTCTTTTGCTTCACACATCATCCCAGGAACTATTGCCTGGTATTCCAACTTCTGGTGATATGCAACCTGCTGTTTTAACCCATAATTTTGATGTTTCCTTGTATAGGGAGAAAGTTAAGGGTATGGATAATTCTGAAATATGTCATTTGATAAAAAATGTATATAAACCAGATAAAAAGTATCATTTTCCTAAATCTAATGGCAGATCATTTAGGCATGATTGGCTAGACCAGCATGAATGGCTTTGCTATTCACCTTCACAAAATGGTGCGTATTGTCTATCGTGTGTGTTGTTTGGCAATAGATTCCCAGGCAAGGCCAGTAAAGTAAAAAAGTTGTTTACTGAACCTCTTCAAGATTGGAAGAATGCTAAATGCTCTTTCACTCAACATGCTGGAAAAAGTAAAGGAGGGAAGTCGGTTTGCATGCATCCACATCACCAATTTTGATGCTTTGCGTTCCCAAATATCAGGTACTCTGCAGCCTATCGAGATGATCATGGATGCTGGTATCAAGAAAGAAATAGAACAGAATGGGAAATACTATCTCCAATTATTGATTCTGTCATTTTTTGTGGACGTCTAGGTTTACCTCTTCGTGGGCATCGTGATGATTCCAAGTATCACCCTACTGTTGGTTGTTATTCATCTGGAGGGGTTGGTAATTTCATTGAAACACTCAATTATGGAGTTAGGAGAGGGGATAAAGTTTTAGAAAATCATTTAAAGAATTGTGGTAAGAATAGAAGTTATATTTCTAAAACAAGTCAAAATAAAATCATTAAATGTTGTGGCCAGGTAATCAGTAATCAGATTATTTCTGATATCAAAAAGTAAGTTTTTTCTGTTATTGCTGATGAAGCATCTGATTCTTCACATAAAGAACAAATGTCTCTTGTTTTGCGCTTTGTTGATACCGATATGAATATCAGGGAAGAATTCATTTCATTTCTTTTTGTAAGTGGGGACTAAGTGGTGCTCAACTTGCCAAGCTACTTTTAGAGGCTCTAAAGGAACTGACTTTATCAATAGATGATTGTAGGGGGCAAGGTTATGATGGGGCTGGTTCAGTTGCTGGTTGCACTAATGGTCTAGCAGCTCAAATTTTAAAGCTTAACCCAAAGGCTCTTTATACACACTGCTATAGTCATAGGTTAAACTTATCCATTTGCGATTCTTTGAGTATACGTGTTGTCAATGATATGTTGAAACATGTTAACAATGCCACTAATTTTATTAAAATTTCCCAAACTCGCAATATTCCCTTTGAAAAACATATACGTAATTCAGAAACAAACTCGAAAAGACTAGATTAACAGACGTTTGCAAAACTAGATGGGTAGAACGTATCGAAGGTTTAGATACATTCCAAGAGCTTTTGTACCTGTATACACCACCCTTAACGATATGTCTGAAAATCTAGATGGTGAGTTCAAACCGTCGCTTCAGTCTGATGCCTCATCTTTGTTTCAACTTATTGACAGGTTTGATTTCGTCGTTGCTTTAGTTATCACGAGAAATATTCTTGATTCAACTCTTCCAGTAACACAGTTATTACAGGGTAAGAGTATCGATATAATGGATGGTATTCATTTAATTTCAACTTTGAAAACTGAGGTGGTGAACATGAGGAATTCCTCTGATTTTTATCATGACACCTGGTATGACGCTTGAACTGGCAGCAAAAGTTGGCATTGAAGAATGGAAACCAAGAACAGTGCGCAAACAAACGACCAGGGAAAATATTCCCCACACAACCATTTCTGAGTATTATAAACGTGCAATTACTCTTCCTCTACTAGATCATTTGCAATCTTCTTTAGAATCACAATTCGACCTTGAGAGTGTGAATGTCTATAAAGGCCTTAGCATTGTACTGACGAAAATGATGTCCATGACAAGAGATGGGGTGGATTGGAAAGAGCCATTCAAAACTGTGGCTAACTTTTATTATGATGATTTGCCAAATCCTTTGGCCTTAGATGCTGAACTTAGGTTGTGGTACACTTATTGGGAGACCCACTGCGGCCTCCTTCCTGATAACATTGCCCAGACTTTAAAATCTGTTCATTTCGCCGGATTTGAAAACATTAAAATTTTACTACGTATTTTAGGAACGCTCCCCATTACCTCTTGTGAATGTGAACGATCTATTTCTTCCCTTAGGACACTTAAAAACTATCAGCGAAGTACCATGGTTGGGGAACGCTTAAATGGTTTGGCCTTGATGCAAATTCATCAGGAAATTGTACCAGATATTGGTGAGGTTATTAATACTTTTGCTGTTGGAAATACAAGGCTAAAATTTGCATGAATTTATTCATATCCTAGTTTTTTATTTTGTTGAAATGTCCATATGTTAACCATTTATTGTGCGTTGTACACAATAGTAACGTCAATAGAATTTGCATCAAACTAATAGCTCGCCCGATAAAGGTTTTTTTCCCTATATACATTCCAATCTTAAAACTGCTGAGTACGTGTATGGTACTCGGCCGTTGTCGACATAAATTTACTTTCACAAAATTGTTAAGCATAAATAGAATAATTTTTCCTTACACCAAATTTTAGTCTTCACAAAGACTCTTTATACAAAGCTCTATTTTGACTATTACATTACATTTACATTCTACTCATTTGTTGGCAAATGAGAGTGCACATTTTAGGTGGGGGGTAAAGGGTTGGAATTGACTGGGATGGTGTAAGAAACTGAGCAATCTTACATCCATGAAATGTCCCACATAGTCACCCATTTCTAACCAAACTCCTTTTGCTATTTGCTAAAGGTGTGAAAGGCGAGTTTCTGGCGCTTCAAAACCAGAGTGCTCATTTTTAGGTGGGGGTAAAGGGTTGGAATTGACTGGGATGGTGTGAAAAATTGAGCAATATCACATCCATGAAATATCCCATATAGTCACCCATTTCTAACCAAACTCCTTTTCAAAGGTGTGTAGGCGAACTTCTGGCGCCATAACCAGTCTGCTTAATTCGGCTCTCACAGGGCTGTCCATGCCGGATCACGATTTTTTGTTTTGCGTTAAAGTGTTCCTAGGCATGCTGATGAGCCCTGATATGGGGCGAAACAGTCTTGTGTGCATTCAATATTCTGAATAGTGAAAATCAACGACCTTGTGATATGTAAGTATAAATATACAATGTTTTTATGTATTTATACGATTGAGATCTACAAGATTCTGCATAGCTGAATGATTAGAATGTTTGATTTAAACAATTTATCGAAAGCATAAATAGTGTAGTATGTTTTGCAAAGTATGACGTCATAGGTTTAGCACTGAATGACGTCATAATGTTTTGCCTATGGTATCCAAAATCCTAGATCCGCCCCTGCTTGTGTCTTACCATCCAAGCACACCACATGACCAATTTATAAGCCATTTGTAAGCTACAGCTCTGGGGTATCTAAAATTATATTATGGCATTAATTATGAGCAATATTTTAAGCGCAGTTACTTTTGTTCGTTTGTTTATCTAATAAAATACTCACTCTCATTCTTAGTTTATGATCCACGCCATTGATAAGGTTGTCCATTCCGAGCCAACATTATCTAAGACCAGTGTTGCCAGATGGGCGGTTTTCCCGCCCAATTGGGCTGGTTTATAAGCCTGTTTGCGGGAAATTTTGGGAGGCTGCGGGTTGCTGGTTTTTGGGCTGGTAATAACTTTTTGCACGATTTTTTGGGCTGGAAAAAATTTTGATGATCTAGCTTCCATGTGTTTTTGTTTTTGTCATGGTAAACAGCAATTGTGCTAATATAACATGGGAAAGTGGGCAAAATACCATAAAAAGTATTGTAAAGACTGGGAAAAGGAAGAAATCTTGAAAGAATGGATTTTGAGTGTACCAGGAGACGACCAAAAAGCATATTGTAAGTACCGCAAAACTCAAATTCGAGCACATCATGGGGATCTAGTTTCTCATGCAAAAACTGAGAAACATAAACACAACAAGCAACCTTTTTCCAGTTCAAGAACCTTATTTGAGTTAGGTTGTCAAAGTAAAAAAGTAGACAATTCTCTAAAAGTTACTGAGATAAAGATCGCTGCCCACATCGCGTGTCATTCTAGCTTAAACACTGTGGCGAGTTATTTAAAGATGTCTCAGGGAACGATGTTAAACTCCACAGAACAAAGTGTACTGCATTGATTAAATGTGTGTTAGGACCAGCGATGTTAAAACAGCTACTTCAAGAATTGGCCGATATCCCTTATTCACTTATTATAGATGAAAGCACTGACATTGGCAATGAAAAACAACTGTGCATTATGGTTAAGTATTAGCGCAGCCAAACAACAGATTCTCACAAGCTTCCTTGGACTTTTGTCTATTGAATCAGGAACGGCAGAGGCCATTTTTCAAGCAATAATTGAATTTTTGAGAGCAAAGGAACTTGATATCAAGCAGTGTATAGGCTTGGCCACTGATGGGTGCAACACAATGTGTGGAAGGAACAATTCTGTAATCACAAAATTTCGTGAACTATGCCCTAACATAATACATATAAGATGCATTTGTCATTCTATCCAACTTTGTTCCTCACATGCTCTTAAAGTAATGCCACGGAATGTGGAGTTCATGGTGTCAGAAACGTACAACTGGTTTTATCATAGCACTTCTAGCCAACGAAAGTATTGCCAGATCTATTCAGCTATCAACGTGGGGAAGCACCTTTGAAGATTTTAAAGATCTCCAACACACATTGGCTATCTATTTCTGCATGTGTTGACCGAATACTCCAACAGTTTGACGAACTGAAACTACACTTTCAGCTTGCCAAAGATGAAGATCGCAATTACACTGCAGAATTACTTTTTCAAATGTATGGTGACATGGAGAATAAATTATATCTAATTTTTCTGCAGCCTATCCTTAATGAATTAAATCGAGTAAATAAGCTGTTTCAGTCAGATTCTGCTGCAATTCCTCACTGATGTTATGAGTTTGTACAAAGCGTTTCTTTTCCGTACTATGAAGCCTGTGACCTTTACAACATGGTGCTCCACTCTCACGTACGACATAGAGGATGAGAGAAATCATTTGCCTCTTTCTGCGGTTCACTTTGGTATTTTATTTCAAGTGGCATTGGCAGAATCAAATTTAACTTCTGAAAAGGTTGATGTAATCAAATCTAGATGTCAACAATTTCTGGTTGAGTTTCTCAGGCAAATGAAGCAAAGGTTGCCATGCAATGTGGAGCGGCTTGAGTCTATTGCTGATCTAAGTCCAACTGTTGTTACAGGCAAACAGAAATGATCTCTTCAAGACCTGTTGTTTCTTCCACTATTTTCCGGAGATTTAGATAAACTTGACCAACAATATCCCTCTAGGGGCCACGGTTGCTCCTGAGCAACATTGAATATATTACCTGTCTTTGTTCTTACATACAAAATTTTCCCATTCCAAGCCAATGTTGCTGCTGAACAACATCCAAAACTTGTCCCCAGCCCTAAAAAATGGTGCTCGGCTAAATATTACGGATTCTATATGTCGTCAAAATGGCTGCATCAACAAGTCAGTGTTAGAGTGTGTGTAAGGTAAGAAAATTTCATCTAGTTCTCTTTTATGTGTAAATTTTATGGGAATTTTATACATAGCAAAGAATGATAAATATCTAAAAATTATTGAGACATATTGAAACTCAGGATTTACTGTAACATACTTGTAGAAACGATCGTGACATAAATGTGTTGCTCACAAGCAACATTGGCTTCTAATGACAATATGGACGTCATATAAGTAGACGCTGTATTTTATAATATTCATTTATTCTTAGAAGTAATGACGTGAATTTTGTTTTAAAAAATACAAAACTTGTAATTGTATATCAAACAATTGTTCTCTGAGATACCTTTTTGTAAGATATTTTCCTTATATTTTGATTTTCTTTGTGACATTTTGTAAAATTTTGGTGTGTGGAAGTTACGACCTTGGATTAAAAATATAGGGATAGTTTCCTCACAACAAAGTATGAGGAATAGTAGTCGACAAGTAACAGGTAGTTAGCATTGTTCCAGTGATACAAGTCTGATGACACGACTTCCCAAGGTTTCAGTACTTCTTGTTGAATTATCGTTTCCTTAGGATTTGAAGTTTGGTGTTGCTGGCAGGAAGCACATCTTTTTACCATGTCCTCGATGTCTTTGTCAATGCCATACCAGTAGACAGCTTGTCTAGCACGTAGTCAACATTTCTCGATTCCTTGATGTCCTGTGTGTATCTGGTGAAGTATCTCGGCTTGGCATGTCTTTGGGATGATTACACGATCACCTTTCATGAGAATACCATCATGTACAGCTATCTCGTCACGGAAATTCCAGAACTGGTGAAGGTCGATGGGGCAGTTTTGGCGATGCTCAGGCCATCCTACCATGACTTGGTGTGTAAGTTTCTGAAGTAACGGATCAAGATGTGTTGCAATCTTGACTTTTCGAGCCGCTCGTAGTCATGTGTGCAAGAGATCCGATGCTGACGTCTAGTTGAGGTATCTCTGGTCCAGGAAGTGGTGATCTTGAAAGCATGTCGGGAACTGGCAATTGTTTTCCAGGAACATATTTCACAGTGTAGTCATATGGTTGGATCTTGAGTAGCATTCGCTTAATCCGGGGACTTGCAGTTGAGACTGGTTTCTTAGTAATTGATTCCAAGGGTTTGTGATCTAATTCCACTAATACGTGGCGTCCATACGTGTAGTGATGAAATCTTGTCAAAGCGAAGACTATGGCAAGCATCTCTCGCTCGATATTGCTATAGTTCTGTTCTGTGTTCGTTAGGGTCTTGCTGGCAACTGTTACTGGCTTGTTGTCTTGATAGAGTATGGCTCCGAGTCCTTCCGTTGATGCGTCACACTGGATTGTCACAGGCCTTGTCGGGTCGAAATAAGCTAGGACTCCAACATTTGCGATGTTGTCTTTGATTCGCTCGAAAGCTTCCTGATTTTCAGGTCCCCACTGGAAATCAACATCTTTTCGAGTGAGTTTGTTGAGTGGTGCACAGAGATCAAATAGATCTGGGGTGAATGGAGCAAGGTATTTGGCTGATGACAGGAATGATAGCAACTGGCTCACATTCTGAGGTTGCTTCATATCTTTGATGGCAGATACCTTGGATGGGTCGGGTTTGATTCCTTCGCTGGTCAAGATGTGTCCGTAGAAGCCAATGCTGCTCTGCTTGATGTGGCATTTGTCATAATTGAGAGACAGGTCACGTTCTTTGGTTCTCTCCATCACTCGCAAAAGATTTTCGTCATGTGTCCTGTCGTCTTTGCCGTAAACTACGATGTCGTCGGCGATGCAGATGATTCCTGGCAATCCGTCGTATGTTTCGTCAATCTTTCTCTGGAAGATATCTTGTGCAGATACCAAACCAAATGGGAGGCGCTTGAAACAATAGCGACCCATGGGAGTGTTGAAGGTTGTCAAGAGCTTTGATTCTTCAAGGACCACGTTCCAATACCCAGATCTGGCATCAAGTTTACTGAAGACTTTGGCGTTACTGAGTTGGGGTAGCACGTCTTCAAGTTTCTGGATGTAGTGGTGCTCACATTTGATCGCATCGTTGAGTCGCTTAGGATCCAGGCAGATCCTTACATCGCCGTTTGGCTTTGGCACTACCACGATGCTGCTAACCCAGTCTGTGGGTCCGTCGACTTTCTCTATGACACCGATGTCTTGTATGCGTCGAAGTTCCTTGCGGAGTGGTTCACGCTGACTTTCTGGCACGGATCTTGGGGCGTCCTTACACGGGATAGCATCATCTCGTATGGGTATCTTGTATTTTCCTGGAAGTGTTCCAATCTCCTTAAAGCATTCAGGATAATGCTTAAGAAGGGAGTCCTTTGAAATCTGGATGGGCTTTTGTTGGGTCTTAATCTGGCATATGTCTGTTTGGCTATTACACAAGGTGCAGTCTGTGTTACAGCTCTCTTTGATCAATCTCAACTGGCGTAGAGAAGGTAGACCAAGCAAAGGGGTATCGTTAGTTTCTGTCACAAGGAACTGGGCTTGCGCAGTTTCTCGGTCATGGCGTATGGTTGTGGTGAAATACCCAATGTGTTGTAGTTCTGAACCACCGTATGTCTTAACTTTGACTTGGGCAGGCATAATCTTTGTTTCTGGCTTAAGCTTTCCAGAATTATCAAAATCGTTAGGGAATAGCTCACGGTAGATTTTCTTTGAAATCACACTGGTAGGC